AGGGGGGGGGGGGCGGGGGGGGGGGCAACAACAGCACGGGGAGGAGATTTAGCGGAGATTGCGGAGACGACGGAGACAATTGGGGATTACGGAGATGGCGGAGAAAGTGTGTTGCTTGCTTGCAGGCTGCGAGGGGAGCGGGGCCGCCGAAAAACTTCAAAAACATCCTCCGCACGGATTCTCCTAACCTTAAAACACCAAGCGCCTCGACCTACAATATTTGACACATGGTACAGCTTCCATGGAAGAAGATCGACTTCCATGGAAGCAGCGGTGGTGGTCGCATCAATCACTTCCACGGAAGCGCGAAGAGCTTCCATGGAAGTCATGACTCCCATGGAAGTTCGTCTGTCGAACACCTCCCTGAAACTGTGGAGGCATTCTCATCGAAGCGCGACAACCATGGGGAAGTAGCCTCCACGGAAGCGTTTGTCATGGCTGGAAGGCAACTTCCATGGAAGCACGACAAGTCCGATGAAAACAATTTCTATGTCACTGCCGGCAGGCAACCTCTTTGTGGAAGATTTAAAACGTCCATGGAGGCAAGTTAAAGCAACTTATCCTAACTGCAACAACATGTTGTCACCTAACGTTACCTCAGGCTGGACTCGGGTGATAGACTTCCATAGAAGTTGTGCCACCAAGCTTCCATTTGAACTAAAAAATCTTCCACGCTGCCCGAAGGTGGGCGACTTGCATGGAAGTTGGTTGAATGACCTACCATGGAAGCTACACACATCGTCAAATAACGTAGGCAATTGCTCGCTCATTTCCCCCCTATTGCATCAAAAACAAGTGTCCTGAGTCTTTCAGGGAGTCCGCCTGTGACCACGGTGGGCGTCCGTGTCAGTTGGACAGGACGGTGCGGATAGTAGAAGGTACTGAGCGGAGACCGGAACGGTATTTACTGTGAAGACAACATCGACAACAACAACAACAACCAACAATAGTACTAACACCACCAACAACAACTACAACTCCTGCCCCGCGGATATCGATGACGTGCAAGACAGATATATAGAGAAGACTTACATTGGACCACCTTTCGCTGTGAGAGGTCGTACGTGTAGTCTCCAGCCCCTAGGGTGCCGTCGGAGTCACGGAGGTACCCGTGGTCGGGGCCTAGGGTAGTCGCCGAGTCCCTGAAGAAACAGGAGCCCTCGTCGATACCCGAGTCGACCACCTGATGGTGGAGAGAGACAGAGACAGAGACAGAGACAGAGAGACGGAGAGAGAGAGACGGAGAGAGAGAGAGACGGAGAGAGAGAGAGAGAGAGAGAGAGAGAGAGAGAGAGAGAGAGAGAGAGAGAGAGAGAGAGAGAGAGAGAGAGAGAGAAAGAGAAAGAGAAAGAGAGAGACAGAGACAGAGACAGAAAGAGAGGAGGGAGAGAGAGAGACAGGGAGAGAGAGAGAGAGGAAGCGGTTACCGCAAACCAGGTCGAAAACACGCACACTAGGGGGCTAGTGTGAAGAGCACAAATTTACCTCGGCCGTGCCGCAGCAGAGAGGCTTCTCCCTTCGTTGGTCCGAAACAAGCAGCGGTACCAACTACATGAAGCACACGACCTAAAACGGGCTCTGTGACAAGGCTGCTCCTCCGTGAGCCCACCTATTCCTCCTCCCTCTAGCCACAACCTCCATCGCTTAACCCCTGCCTCTCTCTCCCTGCTTCAAATTCTGTTTTCAGGATAGTATTTCAAACTTCCTTCTCTCCTTTCGTCCGCCTCCCCTGCCCCCCCCCTCTTCCCTCACCTGGACCACCTCTCCCGACCCGTCCACCCCACGGTCCCAGATCGGCTGGGTCGTCGCCGAGCCTCCCTGCACGATGCGACCGGCCACGGCGTTGAACAGCTCCGCCCTCGGCAGCGCCGACACCCTGGCCACCTCGGGCCTCGCCGCCAGGAAGGAAACGAGCCCCATCAGGCACGCCGTCTTCTCTCGCTCGCTGGCGCTAGCGCTACCACTGCCGTCATCCATTCCACCGTCTCCCGACGCAGGGTGGCCGCCGGAGCTCCCTGCCGAACGGTTCCCGTTCCCGCCGCCGCCGCCGCCGCTGGTGTCCGAAGAACGAGCTTGCCGGGGGGGTTGGGCACGCTCGTCTCTTTCGGCGCCGTGAAGGAGGTGGCCGATGTCGCGCAAGGTGACCCAGCCGGCCGATGACGACCGACCTCCTCCTTCCGCCGCCACCCTGACGTCGTTCCACCCGCACGCCTCCGCGGGGGAGACCCCGCCGAGCCGCTCGGCCAGGGCGTGCACCGTCCGGGCCGCGCTGCCCCACTCTCTCGCCAGGAAATCCGCAGCAGTAGGAGGAGGAGGAGGAGGAGCCTGCTCGTCGCCTGCCTCACGCGGGCGGTGGCCATCAGCGTCCGACCAGAAGGACAACCTGCCCAGGTCTAACAAGTCCGAAGACCAGCCTCGCTTCCAGCTCTGCGCGAGGGCCGCCAGCGCGCTCTCTCTGCTGCCGGTGGTTTCTGGGGACAGCAGCAGCTGCACCACCAAGCCCTCCCCCCCGGTGTTGTGCCGCAACGCCTTCCCCGGCAACGTTCCCGCCCCGCGCCGCTCCCCCGACGCCATCGCGCCGGTCGCGGCAGCAGGTGCTAGTCCCGGGGCCCCCGCGTTCGAGCTCTCGCCGCCCGCCAGACCACGACCGCTACCACCATCACGACCACCACTAACATCAACACCAACACCCAAACCGTAAGCGTCAAAATCGCTGCCGTAGTCCAACAGGGACGGCGCTAGCTTAAGGCTGGGGGGGACGGCCACGAACCCGTCGAAGAGGCGGCTACCACTAATACCACCATCGGGGCCTCCTGACTCCTCCTCCTCCTCGAGCAGCAACATCAGGGACTCCACATCGGCCGCGCTCGCCCGCACTATGAAGCACCCGCCCTGCTCCCGGTTGTGGGCCGCCGTCAGCACCGACGTCGGGGACAGGGCCGCCGATAGCGCCTCGCGGCCCCTGGCGCCGCGGGCGTGGCTCGTGAACGCGACAAACGTTCCCGTTCCTCCCCTACGTGCCACCGCTTCTTTTTCTCCTTCAGCCGCTGCTCCTCCTGTTGCCCCTTGGCTATCCCCTGCTGCTGCTGCTGCTGCCGCCGCCGCCGCCGTTGCGAGGAGGCGTGAGTGTTGCCAATCCACCGCCAATCGAAACGCTTCTTCATCGTGCCCGAAGAAACGCCTGGGAATCATCATTAGCAGGAGGGGACCCGGGGGGGGTTGAAATAGGTCCCATCTTCTCTGCGTGCAAGGAGGATACACAACGCCCCTCAATGCGTTCGAATACGTCGCTTGCTGTCTGTTCGCTGTGCTTCCGTCACAAGCGTAAATAGAATCCGTTCTTTTTCGTCCTAACGGCCACAAGAGGCCAAATGAAGGCGGCGTCTATCAACGTCGAGGTGTACCTTTTAAGCCTTTGCTGAAGGCAGGAAGTTTCTCGGCGAGCACGCGGGTAAGTCGACGCGAGGCGAGGACCAACCGGAGAGCTCGTGCGAGGCAGCACTCATCACATCACTCACATCCAAGAACGATGATAGGCTTAGTGCCATGACTCACGCCCACTGTTGTGCGTGTTCGTGAATATTGTATGCGTATGTGTCCAAAAAATTAACTCGAAGAAAGGTTGACGAGGGACGACCGACTGACTGCTTCCAACACCTGCCGTTAGGAATGAAAACTGGAGGCTATGTACGCAGCCACCGCAGGGGAAGTATCCTCCGTGTCCCCCGGCTGCTGCAATTCACGTGTACAGTCCCAAAGTACCCAAGCAACCGGCCTAACAACGGATCATCTCCGGAACTTGAGATGAGGGTTACATTTTTCTGTAGGAACAAGAGTTAGTAGAACAAGAACGTGGGCCTCCAACCAAGCCATCAAGGGAAGATCGGATGGGGTGATTGGATTAACCCCTTTAGGGCTGGATCGCCTTTTGGGGACACTTTTTGTCCCCATCTTCTTCACCTGCTTTACCTCGCGAAGATTGGCATGATTGTCTCCTCCTTTGCACTACTCGACCAGGGGGGTGCCAGGGTACACAGGGAACGACTCTAGTCTAGTATGGATGCTTTGTAGAGTGGAGGAGTATGAGGGTAATGAACAGGTCGAATCGCGGGGCGATTTCGCCGCCGGTTCAACAGCGAAGTTGCGCCGCGTCTGTTTACCCTTGGGTGGAAAGCGCTACTAGGGGCAAGCGCGGAAGAAGTACCTATACCACCGTTGATAGGAGGCACCAAGCAACCTAGGGCTTGAGTTAGAAGGTCTCGCTTTCCCTCTAGAGAAATATCTTGAAAACCTCCTTTTCGTGCTCCGTTTACCACGCTCCCGCCAGTTGCTGTCTATAATCCCTATCAATTGTCCCCTCGTGTCCCCTCGTATCGAGGGGACAATTGATAGGATTTAGACGAGAGACGGCTCAAGTGGGAAGGCAGCTTTGCATTTGCACCCAGGGATGGAACTGTCTGCACCATCCAATCAGCAGGCGTCGTTCGCTCTTTTTCTTACATTTCAGAAATTTCGCAAGACCGCCGAATTTTCTGTGCGTGGTAAGGGGGTTAAGAACAACAACAGTACTGCTTTTGTGGCAGCCACTGATCTCCTGACTGTCCACCCCTGCTCCTTGGCGCAAAGCACTCCCTTCATTCTCTGTCACCGGCACAACAAGTAGCTTAAGCCAGCCGCCGCTGTAGTTCGCACATACTCCCCGCTTGATGTAGGGATAGATAACCGAAAGGCATCGACTCATGATGAGCGTCATGTTTAAATATTTGAGGAGATGTTCGCAAATGGAGATTAAACGATACTTGCTGTGGAGCACAAGCCTTCGAGGCGGCATGCATACGCTCCAATGCTACAACCGCGGTGAGCTTCTCGGAGTCAAAATTTGGGGAGCTAGCGTGGAGCGTTTGTCCATCATGGTGTGGTACACTGGGAATTCCGACTTGGAATTGTTGACGGACGCTGGCTGGAATTACTCATGAATTCCAAGGAGCACGAAAAAATCGAAAATTTCCTGCTGGAAACGGAAAAGGCGATTGAGCTACATACCATTCCCAAGGCGTACAATGCGCACACTTCACAATTTTTAGCTGCCCAACTTGGAACCAAGAAGCTTACAATACAACAGCAGTGGAGCGAAATATAGCCCCGAAAGTTTAGCTGCGAAAGGGTCGATGTGAGGCGGCGAGCACTGAATAATGAAGTGCGTTGGTTGGGCTGCCTTGCTACACTATTATACTCTGTCATATTTGTTTCCGAAGGACCCGGTGGGCAGCAGAACCCCTTGTGTGTTTGTCGGGTTGAACATTAACGTTCGCTTCCATGGACCCAATTTTCCGAATCAGAAAGAAATTGTCAATGTACCTCTGAAACAAAATTGGGCCTACTTTGTGATAAAAGTGTCTTCGGACGACGATACGTACACAAGTAGCATAGGTGAGGCGTTCTCTGTGCAGACGGCCAACTACTGACTGCTGTGTGTGTGCCGTGAAATCCTCCTTTCGACAATACTGCTAACTACAATATTCTATGCACAAGGATATCCACATATCCACACATGCCCTGGACAGGGAGGCTCGCCCAACCAAAGGGCGTAAAACCGCGTGGGTATGTAGGAAGAGTCACTAACATCAGAGCCGTGATAGCTGACCGGCCAACGGACCACATGGGACAGCAAGACATGTTTGCTATGCATACATGCATACATGCAGTAAACTGCTCTACATATGCATAGTACAACCTGTCCCTACAACAGCTTGCGGCAGCGGGAACAAGCAGGAGGTGGAAGTGGGTACCCTACTCCATTGCTTGCGGCAGCGGCCTTCTGGCCCTATGTGCCCTCACGGACGGTGTTTCGGGATCCCGGCAACGGGTTGACTCATTTTCACCAACGTTCCACTTTCAATTCCTTCATACATAACCCCGCCGAGTGATGATACTCCGGTACTCGGTACACACACACACCCCGCGTTCTTGGTTGTTAACTGAAGCTTGTTAGCACGTCAGCACTCTTTGGCGAGACGGCGACCGGCCGTTCATTGAACGCCGCCCCCACTTTGCCACATATATATGCTCACATCTCAGGAGGTTGCGTGTGTGGTTGATATGGAAGGTATCACATCGATTATTGACCTCAAAATGACCTATTTTACACAACAAGCTGCCCTGCCCTGCCCTGCTGCCGGCTTGTTGTCGCAAACACATGTGCGCCATCTGTGTGCAAAAAATACTCCGCTGAGCGCCGCCTCTCACACTGCTGACATTCCCGTGCGCAACAAAGAACTAACTCCTGCTGGATGTGTACGCGTACCTGGAGTTCGTCAGGAGCACGTCGTGGAACCTCTGGAGGCTCGAGCTCGAAGGTGAAGACGCCGCCGCCCCTGCCGCCGCTGCTGCTGCTACTGCTGCTGCTTGTGTATACTCCCGAGTTGCCGTTCCCGCAACCAGGGCTAGCAGCACCGGCACACCACGCCTCCTCATCCTGCTGTGCCACATCATCAGCTGGCTAGCTTAGCGCGTTTTGAAAACACAGGAGGAAGGCAACGCGCCTACTGCTGTTGCCCCTTGCCAGCAGTCCCCACAGAACAGCAGCCGCAGGGTGAGTACCGTTGAGCTGGATACCTGTCCTCCACACGATATATCACGCTGGAGCCCTCACTCAAAGGCGCCAGTAAGTAACCCTGAAGAAAGCAAGTGTTCGTCCTTGCTGTTGCAGACCAGATACTGCTGCGAAGAAAAATTCTCCAAAAAGAGTCACCGCACCACGCACAGCAGCAGCAGCAGAGCCTCTGATTCTCCCCTCTGCTGCTGCTCGCTTCCCTTTTGAGCTTCCACTGGGGATCGGATCAACTGGTGGACAGGAGTGCAGCTGATCGACCTCAGCACCAGGCACGCAACAAGAAGAGAGGAGAGGAGAGAACGAGAGAGAGATATGAAAATGGAACAACCTACAACCTACAGCCTGGGGGCACACAGAGTGGAACTCATTTTTACAAGCAGAAAGACCCGCATACCTTTTATTTAGTTCTCGGTATCCTGTCTGCGGGGCTACCTCTCTCTTGCTCTGTCTCTCATCGTCCATTGTCGCGCCGCAGCATCCATCAACGATCATCGCAACCGGCAGGACACTTTGGCGGGCTCGCGACGCTCTCAGAGGAAAAGTGACCGATACAGGTACTTGTGTGTCCTAGCGTGTGTACTTCGAGAGGTTGGTATTGTGCTCAGCAAGGCACGACCAAAAGAGAGAGAGGAGACCGCTGTATTCCTTGTAGGACACGGATCGGACCGGTGGAAATGTAGTGTATACGTAGCACGGCCTCGCCGTCATCGTACCCAAGTCTAGGTACTCAGCAGGTTGCTGCTTTTGAGGACAACAGAGGAGTTAGCAAGTGCATCAAGCGCTATCGTGTGCCTGACGCAAGCTACCAATCGCACGCTTCCGTTCGCCCAACATCCCAGCAGAGGGCCTGCGCGTTTGTCTCCGTTTTTTCATCGTCAAAGAACGAAGAACAAGGGGCTACCCAACCGGCCAGACAACCAACCGTAATATGGTAGTCTTTCTCTGTGTGTATTTATTTCCTTTATTTTTCCTTAATAATATATTGCCTTCCCAAGAATTGTATTCCATCTCCGCCGCCGTCCTTGACTGGTACTGCTGTACTGCTGTAGAATAGCAGTAGCGAAAGCGTTGACACCTCGGTTGGTCAGTCACCGCTCCTCCATGCTTCCCGCCACACACTGCTGGATGCCTTCTCTTCCTCTCTCTCAGCATGCATACGTGCGTCACCAGGAGCGACGATGAGATTATCGTATGCGTACTGCTATATCAAAGATGTGATCTCCTCAACTCATCTTGCTCCTCTCTGTCGCGCCACGTCTACTCCTGATCTCTTCGATATTGTAGTGTTTTTGCCTCGATTGCTTGAGGGAATTGACCCAAAGTCATTGTACAGAGGGAGCGAATAAGCTACACAAGCAGCAGCAGGAGGAGGAGCAACAACAGACGTGTTTCTCGGAGAGGCATTTCGAAAAATCATGGTGCCTGGAGGCAGCAGCAACAAGAGAGACATCGGCCGCCAAATGTCCATGGCGGACGCGGCGCCCATGCTGTCTGCCACCCCTCGCAGCGGCCAGCTGGGCAGCGCCTTCCAGGACGGCGACGGCGGCTTCGACACGACGGGGGCAGGGGCTAGAGCAGCAGGAGGAAGCGGTTCTTCCAGCTCGAGAAAGCCGGGGAGGTGTGTGAAGCATTGCTGTATTTCTGGTAGCTGCTTCCATATACCAGCAAACTTCCGGTTCTTCCAGCTCGAGAAAGCCGGGGAGGTGTGTGAAGCATTGCTGTATTTCTGGTGGCTGCTTCCATATACCAGCAAACTTCCGCGTCTACCGATATGGTGCTCTGCTGTGTTGTATGCATACAAAGAACAGCAGTACAAGTTCATGAACGGCGGCGCAACCGGCCGCGTGAGATGGAGGGGTACATCGCGCGCAGTCCACGCCCGGCAATGTTGGTGGAACTGCCGTTGCTTCCCCTGTTGAGGGTGCATTCGTTCGTTCCCAAGTAAGCGGTTGTGCTAAGCTGTATGGGCAGCGCGCCGCCTCCTTTCCCACCAGCCACCGCTGCCCTGGTGACGTCACGAGTCAAGCCACGAGCCGTGTCGCCGGAGCTGTGCATACATGTCTTAGAACGTCGCCTCTGTTTGTCTATACGGCAAGTTGGGCGCTAGGAGCACAAGCGGCCCACAACGCACAACGAACGAACATTGCAGTTGCCCCAAGCTGCCCGCCGATATGCGCGCGTGCTTTCCGATTTGTAGCGCGCCCACCATTTATGCAGCTCAGAAATGCCAATTGTGAATATCGCTACATGAACTGGCGTGCGGCACCCCCGTGTATTCTCGAGCCCAGCTGTCGGGATACCACCTGACCGCACATCCCACAGCAGTAGCAGCGCTCGTGTATTTTATGGTGTCAGGTCGCGCTGCTTTTTACGGCCGTAGATTCCATGCAGCCCGTGTGCCATGGGGTGCTTCTGTGTAATCGATCAAGAGGCGACGAGAAGAAAGCCTGGGTGTGTTATGCCTCTTCCATGGGTATGTAGAACGATGCCTCTCTCGACCATGATAGAACGATAGGCATGGCGATGGATGATGCCTTACGCTCGTGACTTGTGACCAAACATCAGCAGTCCCTGCGTTCCGGCTGCGGAAGAAAAAGAAGACAAAAAAAATCATTCCGAGGATTCCAGCTGGTGGGCTGGATTTGTCTGATCTGGGACGTGGTGTATTTGTACACCCCCATCTACAGCATCGACATATCGAGTTTTATGCGACATCCCCGGCTGGGGTCATGACCGATCGCTGTGTACGACAGCAGTAGCGGCCGATATGTTGGGATGAACGTAGGCCTTTGTTGAGCCCCTTCACCGCTGTGCATTCATCCGAAAACGCACGAAGCTGCCGTGCCATATGGATATATGACCCTACGGCAAGTTCGTGCTACAAATTGCTCGATGCACGTGTTTGGAGAGCGTTTGGAAGTAGTAATTTACTAGGACGCCGTACCGTACGGACATCGCAATCCTCGCAATCACAATGCACAGATGACAGAGGTGAACAGGAGGGTATGCGATAGGATTTGTTGGTTCTGCTGTTCGCTGCTTCTGGTCTCGCTGTTTGCGGCACGGCTATCGGATGACGGAACAATAACAATTTCACAGCGTTTGATCGCTCACGATGTCGCCTCATGTAATCTGGACCATCATTTTGTGTCACGTGCCACGCCGCCAAGCAACATATGGTACGCTCTTTGTGTTTATTTTCTGAGTGTCGGTGTGCATACATATGTCCGTCGGTGGCAGTTGATTAGCGGTGGTATCATCTTTCTTGCCGAGGGACGCGTACAGCAGCACTGCTGTTTTTGTTTCACGGCTCACTTGCTGCACGCAGCAGCGGTGCCTGGACGTGGCTTCCCGCCCTCCCGCCTGCGCGAGAAATTTGGCCTATGAGGAAATACAACAGGGGGTGAATTGTACGCAGACCCTATCCCTAACCCTAGCCCTATCCTTAACCCAACATCTCCGATTGCATACTTTATCCAACATGTTTACTGGAACGAAAACCCTGCGAGGGCTACTGCCCCCTGCCCCCCCCTGCCGCGATACCAGAAAGAGGAGTGGGTGCCTTCGACAAGAAAAAGACGAGCAAACAGAAATACGATGCGTTACAGCAGTAGTGAGTGTGAATAAACGTGTGTTGCATTTGAGCACGAGTGGAAAACTTCACCCCTGATTTTTGTCTTGTTTTTTATCGTCCCGCCTCCAAACCGAGCAGCAGTCGCACCGGCCGGTCCAAGCCAAGGCCCGGGGGAGTGCACGCCCACGTCGCGGCGTACGAGGGTGATCTGGGCAAGCTCCGGCGCTATTCCGAGGCCGGGGGTGACCTCGAGAAGCGGGACAGCTACCGCGCGACGCCTCTGCTGCTGGCGGCGGAGAAGGTGCTTGAGAACTTTCCTTGAAATTTCTAGCTATCGTCTTGTTTTTTTTTTTTTTGCATATTTCCGTCGGCGGCGACGGGGGCGGCGGCGGCAGCCTCTTTCTTAAAAGAGTGGAAGTATATTTTTGTCCCTCCCAGGTACACTCGTATGGTACACTCTTATGCATGTGTAACTCCGGCGTTCTTGTTGGTTATGGGGGAAACGTGTGTAATGTTGAAGTCCGAGCGTAGCCCGTCTGCAGGTAGAACGTGCACGAGGGTTTGCTATCCACATATCTCTCTCTCTCTGGGGTGTGAGTTTGCACCGGGGAGAGCGAGATGCCGGATCGTGGTTGGCTCAGAGGATCTTGGCCTCATTATCGGAGGTTGCAATGTCGATTTCTCTCGTTAGACAGAAGCAGGAGTGAATCTTCGGAAGGGTGGATTCGTTAGCGTGGACAGAACGCGTTTGCAATGCCAACATGATGTACGAAAGCGATTTCTACTGCTGCTCGACGACTTGAGAGCTAGCTCCCCCTGCTGCTGCTGTGTCATAGCATAGTGCGGTAAGAGATTCTGATTAACCAATCAAGAGCCTCTTATTTTGTGAGCCATTCGTTGCGCCTCCCGCCTTACCACAAGAACCGAGAAAAAGCCGCCCGCCTACATTTAATGAAAACCTGCTGACTGACAAGAAGCAGACAAATGCGATGGATTGCGTAACCGCCACAGGGTCACGAGGCGTGCGTTGCGTACCTGCTCGATGCCGGAGCCGACATCACGGCGACGGACGAGCACGACTACACGGCGCTGCACCTCGCCGCGTACTACGGCCGGGTTGGAGTCGTGGCCCTCCTGCTCAGGTGAGTCAGCAGAGTCGAGTCAGTGAGCGTGGGCATGAAGCAGCAGTCAGAGGCGGAGCCGAGTGAATAATGGAGTGGGGACATTTAACAGCATCCCCGTCGTCTTCGTCGTCTATAGCTGCTGCCGATTTGGGTGTGCCACGCCCGTTATTTTAGGTCATTGAGGTTCGGGTATTTATGTGTATGTGTATGTATGCATAAGTCTTTCACACGCGACCTCTCGGGCAGTGCTCTCTAGCTTACCCTTGCGTAACAACAGATTTACCAATCCGAGCGCGTGTGCTCGTTGCCGTGTCTCTGAAGGCTCTCTCGGCAGCAAGGTGCCACGGTTGCAACTAATTGAAATACTACATGTGTGATCACGTAGGTCTGGTCACTCCCGTCTGTGCTACGCATGACGCCCACAGCCTTGGCTATTTTCCGAGGCACTGAACCAAAACCAGATCTCACCCCCCCCCCCCCCCCCCCCCCCCTTTTTTTCCTTTCTCTCTCCCCCCCCCTTTTTT